AATGGCTAATTCCGGAACTAGCAAAGCTGGGAAGCTGAAATTTTCAGGGGATGTTCCCAGCCCATGTACTACTTAAAGTTATTAAATTCATCCCCCAGGCATGCGCGGTTCTCACGTACGGGCCCGAGAAATTTTTTTGGTGAGAAATTTTTAAGTTGTCGAGCTGCTAAACGGAAGTAGTTTATTTCCTTTCATGCAAAATTTACGATGATTTATGGTATTTAGCGCACAAGGTAGGTGCGAAGAAACAAACAATCATGCAGTTAACCTAATTACTTCAAGTTTAATGCAAGAACACACGGTCGCACCGGCTCGCTAAGTGCTTTCCAGCTTGGGTTGGGTGTGTATTCCCCTGTCCAGATATTTCAAGATGCAACCAAACAAGCTCTGGCGTCAAAATTTTGCCGTTTGGTTTCCCGGCCAAGTGCCACTCCAGGACCGCGGCATGAACTTTTGCGCACTTCTGAGCCCCACGTGCAAGCGCGTGAAGATTTTGTCGCGAAAATTGCTGATTCGGGAACGAGAAAAGCTAGAAGGCTAAAAATTTAGGGGAATTTTCAATACTCATGTACGACAGAAATACATCATATTCAGCTCCTTTGAATGGCACGGGACTTACACATAGAACATAAAATTTGGGCGGGAAATTGCTAACTTGAGAACGAGATAAGCTAAAAGGCTGAAAATTTAGGGGAATATTCTCTACCTATATAAATCTAAAAGCCTTCAAATCCAGTTCCTTAGAACTGCCCATGTCTCATATACGGCACGTGAAACTCGGGTATAAGAAAATTGAAAGACTGGAATTTTGAGGGAATGTTCCTTAGTCACTTGTGACTAAAAGATTTCAAATTCAACTCTTCTAGTGGGGTTTTTTTTCATACATTAGCAACCTTTCATTTCTCGGATCACCAAAGCCGACATCTACAGCTGACATACCACCTAGCTGCACTATTAACATCCCGAACTTCGAGGGCCAGAACACAGGGTTAACTACTATGATTCCTTGCCATCTTCCTGCGGCATGAAATGTGCCAAAACTCATGATCGCACAGACCTGCTGGTGTGTTCTAGCCTGGGTTTGTTTTCGAAGTGGTTTCAAATATTTGGCCTATAGAACATCTCAGTGACGCATTGGAAATTAGCAATGCTATCACACAGAAGGTCAAAAATTTGATTTCGCCGATTGTAACCAATGCTCACATGTTCATCCATATGTTTCGATGATAAATTGGTATTCGAATATGCCATAGAGTTAAATCTGACGTCAGCTTGTTTGTGAGCTATCTTCGGAAGATGAAGCCGTAGACATCGTTGCCAACGGTGACTACTCTTGGCATCTGTTACCATTCCTAGCTACTTTATGTGTGCTTACACCTCTGAAAGCGAGCTAATATGGAAGATAGTCTGGACTTTTTCATTATTATGAAAGTGCAAAATTCTCAGTGTTTTGAAAATTTTAGGAAATTTCTGGTGCATTTGCTGCTCCAGGTGTGCTCACACGTAGTGGCAGCTTTAACTATAATGCTTTACATCCCTCTGACCAAAAATTTTGGCGACTATGTGCTATTTCTTGACAGTGTTTCGTTCATAGTTATCTATACGTTATTGCTTTTCGCAAGTGTCGCAGTGAGTTTTGTTTCACAATCCTTTTATTCTCTAGAATTTTCGCACGGCTTCAGCGAAAGCGTAATCTAGCCAAACTGTGTATGCACAGGTAGAACTAAACACATTGCTTATAAAATGTTTACCATGTGAGCAAAGCACACGTATGTTTTGGTACTTCGCCTTTGCGAATATAAGATACTAGATCCATCTGTTCACAGATACACTGCGTCCCAAGTTTTTCATAAAGGAAATAGTCGTAAACCAAAAAACATTATCCAACGTGGCATATCATATCTTGGAGGGTTCTAATCAACTAGGTTCCCAAGCGGGCTTTTTCCAGCGGTTCCGCAATTCCAACTTTGACGTTTCTGCACACATGTCATGGACGTGCGTTAAAATTGAATTTAAAATCTTTAACTCACACAAGAACATATACCGTTACTATGAAATTTCTACTTACTAACTTGTTTGGTTCTCGTAATCGCTTTCCCGCCAAAAACGCTGTACAAATTATTTTAGGCTCCCGTACGTGCGACGCAAACATATGTGAAGGATGAGTTGAAAAATGGGACATTGCATACGGAACACGCTTCAGAAGTTTCAGTTTTTTAGCTTTTCTGATTACCGAATAACAGGATTCGGACGCACGGACACAAGATACACTGACACACAAGCACAAGTACATACATGCAACCAATCTGTTGCCAGTATGCGTTTTTGCTGCGCAGCAAGCAAAAACGCATATTGTCGAGAGGCTGTCTGTGTATGTGTGTCCGAAAACGAGTGCATTTTGTCACCCACTTTCATCTCAGCAATCAAAAATGCTGGAAGGTTGAAATTTTAAGAGGATGTTCCCTTTCTACGTGCAGTTTAAAAATCTTAAATTCAGCTTCTCAGGCACGTGGAGTACTAAGCACACGCACTTGAAAGTTCCGGCGGAAAAATTGCTAACTCGGTAACCAAAAAAACTGGAAGGCTGAAATTTTGGGGGAGTTTTCCCTGCCCATGTACATCATAAGTGTTTCAAATTCAGCCTTGAGGTATGCGCGATTCTCACGTATTTGAAAGTTTTGTCGGAAAAATTTCTCGCTGAACAGCTAGGCTACTTTAAAGAGCGACCGTTAAATGAAAATTGTACATTTACTTTATGCAAAATTTATGGTGATTTATGTTAGTGACCGCAAATGATAGATGTATTCATGCACTTGATGGCTTGAGCACTTCAAGTCCAGTTCAAAACGCATGATCGCATGGTTCTGCCCGGTGCGTTCTAGCCTGGATTGCAGTCTTGTGCAAGACGGGAAACTGAATTAAAAAAATTTTAGCATCAAAATGAGTTATCTAAGTAACATAAGGGAAATAAATGGAGAGACGCTGAATAGGCATACGGCTACGGAGCAATGCCTTTCTTATTACCTATGGAAAGTTCACAGAAAGTTGCTTTGATGAGCCTGGGGTCTCCTTACATGATTTTGCCCAGTAATCTCTAGCGATGTTTTTTTTTTTAGATGAGCTGGATAGTGAATAAAAGCAAGCCAAAATCATCGCTCAGGAAACGCATGACTCCGTTATTAGTGCTTCTCCATGTCCTCAATGGGTTGGATTTAGCCGTCTTTGGTAAGTACGGTTTATCTCAATTAACTTTCCAAAGTCAAACTTCCAATGCATTGGATTTCCGTGAAAGTCGGAAGACGATCCTTGGAAGATTCATCATATTTCTCTCGAGGCGCAGGCTAGAGGTGCTTTGACTTCCTAATATCCGA